CTCCTGCTCCTGCTCCTCTCCTGCTCCTGCTCCTGCTCCTCTTCTCTCCTGCTCCTCTCCTGCTCCTGCTCCTCTCCTGCTCCTGCTGCTGCTCCTGCTCCTGCTCCTGCTCCTGCTCCTCTCCTCTCCTGCTCCTGCTCCTGCTCCTGCTCCTCTCCTCTCCTGCTCCTGCTCCTCTCCTGCTCCTCTCCTCTCCTGCTCCTGCTCCTCTCCTGCTCCTGCTCCTCTCCTGCTCCGTTCCGCTGCCCGGCTCCCGGGGCCCGACACGCGGCTGGAGCCCCGCAAGGAATCACCTCTGGGGACTGTGGAGCCCGCTGGGGCCGTGCCGGCACTGCCCGCGTTCATTCGGCTCCAGACGATGTGAAATCCGCCCCAGGCGTGCCTTGTTCCCGTTCTCCTGGGGAAGGGACCCGCTGCGGAGCGGGGCTCCGGGAGCCGGGCAGGGCCGGGCGCTCTCGGTCCCCGCTCCGTGCCCCCAGCGCTTCTCCTTCCCTCGGCACAGCCCGCAGAGCGCTCACCATTTCAACTATTCCTAGTTTTTCTCTCTCTCTATATTTATTTTAATGTTGTTTTCCCAGGTACTACCGGTCTTTAAGATCGTGGAGTATTTTTCCCCATAACAAAGCCAGGAAAATTCGGGTTCGTGTTAAACGCGGCGTGCGCGGATCTGTCTCCCACCACGGCGTATGAGAGTTAACGAAATGTACTGCGGGAAATAAAATATTCTGGCCTCAAGGAGAATTGATCCGATTTAATCTGTTCAAAGGCTGCGAGGAGGGCATTTTCCCGAGGTGCGGGCGCGGGAGCTCCGTGGCCGCTCGGGCGGAGGGAGCGGAGCTGCCCCGGTGCCCGCAGCTCGCACCGGGCCGGCCCCGCTCCCTCTCCCGAGCCCTTTTCTCTCCCTTTCTAAACCACAGCAAGAGGCAGGGCTCGAACCTGGAGGTGCTTTTGTCGGCACAGCACGGATGACAAGGAATAAAAACTTTGCGACCTCAAGGCAACAATTATGTGAGACGGAACTGCGTGCGTGTCGCTGCCCTTAGACCCCAAACTCTCCCTCGGAAAAACTGGCTTTTCCAAAACCTCACCTCTCACCTGGTCTGCAAATCACCTCGCTCATCTAGGGGCACCACAAACACAGCTCCGCTTTCCCCTCTGCTCGGGATTCCCAGCAGCACAGTCCCCAGCATTTCACAAACGCTCTTTAATTCCATTACTCAGGGTGTGATGCCAGCACAAGGAATTATTCACCTGGAAAGTGTCTTCTTCTGTGTGAATGAGTCTCATTGTCAAAACCTCCAGCATATTTAGGTGCCTATATGTTTTGCAGCGGAGAATTTAGTTTCTCATTTATACTGTACAGCTAAAAATTTTGGTAGCTTCAGGCTTGTTTTTACAAGCTCCCAGCTGTACAAGGATTTCTGTTTTTACAGGAAAAACTAAGCAATCCGTAGACCATGATGGCTGTACATCCATAATGTGAGCTTCATGAGGAACACAGCAACTTTTTTATGATCTGGACTGAAATCACATTGAATAAAAGCCCATCTAACAGAGCCTGAGGGGCAGAGTTACAAATGGGCTCAATTCTCTACCAAATCCAACGGGAGTGAAAGGTTTTAGCATCCAGAGAGTAGATTTCCCCCTTTCAGCTGATACTCTGAAGATATTTTCACGATCCCATTTAATTTTGAGCCTGGTCCTGCTGTCTCAATATCAAAGAAATCTATCTCACGAGAAAAGACAGCCCCAGCCCTTTCCCCTCATCTGTTCCTGCTTCCCATCTTTCCTCTTCTCAGCTTCTCTTCTGTAGCCTGAGCCCGAGCCTTCACTCCAGTATATTTGTTTATGCTTAGAGAACAGGCCTACAGGAAAACAAACTCTGTATTTCACCCCACCATTTGGAAGTTCCTTTCTTTCATCTGGAAGCACAGCCTGATCCAGGGAAGGTTCCTGAATTCACACAACCGGTTCCATGATGAAATGCAAACAGTTTCTTGCGGTATTAAATGGCAGCCCGCAGCAGAGTTCAGGTTGCCTGTTATGGATTCAGCAGTCAGGGCTCTGCAGGATAATCCTGTGCTGCTGCCATCCTGCAGCTCGTGGCCTACAGCAACGCTGCTGAATGCTGCAAATAAAAACAAACAAGGCAGCCTCTGCTTTTTAGACAGAGTAGAAATTATGTCTCTTTAGGAAGCTCGAAGCAAAGATCGTTTGTATCAGTCTGACAGCCTCAAAAGCAAGCTGCTCTTCCTAGCACTTCAAAATTGATGCTTATTTTTCTACAAAGCATGGGGAAGGGAAAAGAAAAAAGATAAAAAACCCAAACCATAAATACAAGTCCACTCATGTCCAGATCACCCCGAAGTTGCAAATTAATAACATTGTACAACAAAATTAGAGCCAAAGCAGGCGTCTCCCATTGTCGCTGTAGAGATACACAGCTTATCAGATCATTTTTAGGTAATAAAAAATTCTGTGTGCTTGTTTAGACCATTTGAAAATTGCTTAGCTAAATATGGAAGCAAGGAAAATTATATAAATTTCAGCTTTTTTGAAAAAAAAGAAACTTCAAGGAAAAAAAAAAAAATCTTCCAACCAACCTACAGACATCAACAAAAATTTGTTTTCTATTACTTCTCTGAGAATGTGGGTCCCAAACTGCAGCCATGATGAATCAACATAATCTTTCTGAATTTATTTAATCTACCCACTTTGCTGTGGGAGTTTTTGGGGATACTCCTGCTCTCTCTGCTGTCGGAGGGCTGGCCAGCTGGGGACATGCTTGCACACGTTTGCAGCTCTGCTGATTTCACTTTCAGCTCCTGCTGACTCACTCCCACCGCTGAGTTTGGGCAGAGTCTGAGGACTGAGAATTCGAGTTTTGTCTTTAGCAGCTCCCTGAGAATTTGTGTGAGGCATGGTCAGTGCTCTGTGTCCTCTCTCTGCAGGCTCCTGCAGAGGTGCTGCCCTGGGAGAAAGCCAGCCAGACACAGCCAACACGGATTTACGTGCTGTAAAATCCGTGTGCACACTCAGACTTTGCCATCTACATTGGGACCAGCAATTTCTGAGCGATGCAGAAGGGGTTGAACTCGGTTAAAGCTGAGTAGTCATGTCCCAGAGTCTTCCAGAACTCGCAGAAGGGGCTGTATCAGCCAGGAACAGGGTGCTTTTGTTTTAAATAGCCTGTCCACACCTGGAATGTGTGTGGCTATTTCCCACCTGAACAATTTGTGAATAACTCTCTGTGCGCACACGCCTCTTGCTGAGCAGAAGCCCTGGCTGCAGCACCCAGAGAACGCCCTGCCAGATCCAGGGGGCACAGTTATGGTGAGGGAGGGCTGCCAGGAGCTCCTTCCCCCTCTTACAAACCCGAAGGCTTCAGGAGGAGCACACCAACTGCACCTGTAAAGCTGTTCCTTTTTCCTTCTTCCCAGTCAGGGTGGTGCACTTGACAAAGCATTCCCTCCTAACTCTAGCTGTACCTCTCCCAACTACAGGCTGCACTTTAAAACAATTAGGAGCACAAGATTGTTTCCTTTTAAATGTAACTAATGTGCTTCTACACAGATTATAAGATTGCAAGGTAAATAAGTAGGTTTGATCTGACAACAAATCTGTTTTGCTGGACCAAACCACATGCCATCTCTAGATAATCAGGTTAAAAGTGATGTGATAGAAGTAATTCTCTTCCTTCTGGAGGAAAGGAGTGAGGCTTTAGCCTCAGACTCCCCCCAGAACTCGAAAGCATAACCTGAAAGCACACACTGACTGGAGATAGAGGTGGCAGTGCCAGTGGAAGGTGGGTCTGACCCTCAGACACCTCTTAGGTCCCTGCATTGTCCCAGTCAGACAGTGGGCTTGGAAGCACAGTGCAAACCCCAAAACACTGAATTTCCCTTCGTGGCAAGAACAGAAACTTTGAAGAAGTTGAATATTTCAGTTTAAGTTTGGCCACCTAAATTCTGGTTGATTTTTGTCTGTACAATCACCTTGAGGTCTTTTAGTTTATCTCCATCTCATTCCAGCCTTCTGAGCATGAAAACCTGAACTGGGGATCTACCAAGCATGGGAATTTGCATGACATTTCCAGCCTGTCCTACTTTTGACCTGGCCAGAAACAGCAGATCAGAGCTGCTCCCAGTTTTCTCCTCTTGGTCACAATGAGAGCAAGGAAATGCAGAGCAGACCAAACAAAAAAAAAAAATAATTAACCAAACTTTCTTAGACTCTCAGAAGGGACTTGGTTCAAATCCAGTTGAAATGTAGATGAAAGTTCAGCCTGCTCATTTTATTACAGTTTGTTTACTTACATATAATTTAATTTCAATTTGTTTTCATTTTTTCATCCAGTTTGTAGCTATCCCTTGCAACAAATAAAATAGAGGCTCATTATGAGAATAGCTGTCAGGAGAAGTTAAGCTCTGTATCAGTCTTCATCTGCCTGGTGCCATCATACAAAGCATGGAAGAGCATTTATTTGCACAGAAAAGCATGTGCTACATGCCTTGTATTGTATATAATTGTGCTACATGCCTTGTATTGTATATAATGAGTATTGTATTGAGCCAGCTCTGTTTGATGGCTTGGTGTGGGGCTGAACTCTGGCACTGCTCACTGGATATGGAAGCAGGTATTGCACCAAATGCATGTTGAAGTCTCCACCAGATATTGGGAACAACAGCTCAAAAAATTAAAATTTATTATTCTCCCATGGTTCATTTTTAATGGGCAGGGTGCAACAGTTGGGTGTTTTAAAGCTCTGATTGTAGCTGAATTAAATCAGTGGCAGGGGATATGAGGGGGTTTGGCTGTTTCATTCTCAGAAGGGTTTTGCCTTGAGGGATGTGTCAGCTTTTGTGTGTCCCTGCCCCCTTCCAGAGAGAGCTCTGAGGATGTGAGCTGGGCTCAGCTTCACCTGATAAGTTCATTAATTAGCAATTACAACTTTTCTTGCACTTGATGTCATGACTGGAATATTTTACAGCATGTCACCCACCTCGTGGGCAATTCAGGTGTTTTACAAACAGCATCATTGCTGGAAGGCATAAAACAAAGCTCTGCTTGCTGCTGGACCCTCCATCAGTCGTCCCACGTCACATTTTTGTACATGTGGTTTCTCATGAGTTAGGGTCTCATGAATTTAATCCTCACAAATTAATACTCAGGGTCTTCAAATGCATCTGGGAACCCACGTTCTAAACCCTGACTGTGACTGTGTCAGACACCTCCCTTTGAAAAGGTGGTGGGGCTTGGCAATAAGAAATATAAAAAAACGATGAGTGAAGGGTGCTTCAGCACAGATTTTCCAGGGAGGCATTGTCCCATTGAAACAACAACAAAAACCCTACACAGAAAGAGAGAGGCAGCAGTCCCTTCATGCTACAGGTGCTGAAGGAATGCTCCTGAGCAGGCTCTGCACTGCCCTGGAACCCCAACACCAGGCTGGAAAGAGCTGCTTTTCCTGACTGTGGGACCACTGCAAAGGGATGGAAATGCCAGGGCTTTTAAACAGCCTCTCAGAATAATGCAGAGCTACATTTTGGTTCTTTTGAAGCTGAAAAGGAATTTCCCTCCTGATCTCGAGGGGAGCAGGATTTCCCCTACTGTTTAAAACTCCTCATAATGAAAAGGTACTTTTCTGTTTCAGTTCTTGCTGTTGGTGAGGTGTTAATCCAGCACTGTCATGGCCTTGCAGCTATTTTGCACATTTGCTGGGAATGAGGAAAAGG